AGACCTCACTGCGACCCCACAGGTGCTAACGACCAGCTGCTAACCAGCCTAATCACGCCTCAAGAAGCTCTGAGCGCACCAGCCGCTGGGATAAATTCAGTCGTGGGGGTAAAAAGTCCCCATAAAGGGGTAAAACATCCCCCCGCAAAGGGTAAAGTGTCCCCATAAAAGGGTAAAACGTCCCCAAAAAAGGGTAAATTTCCCCCATAAAGGGGTAAAACTCCCCCCATAAAGGGGTAAAATGTCCCCCTCTTCCCATTGCTGCTTCTGCTGCTCTATTCTTTCATTTAAAACACGTGAGATGCCCCCTGCAAGCTGTAATATCTTTAAATATTTTCACTGTTTAATTCAATCCATTTATGAATCTTCCTCGAGAATTCAATTACACCCCACAGCACCCGATCTCATCTGATCAATTTGCTTGCTTGATTGCGTGTCTATCGACGACCAAAAAAATTTTTAGCTTCTATTGGAGGAATTTATTTAATTTCCTTAACATGATATATTATTCTTTCACTACTAATTACGCTGTATTGTTTGTGGTTACTTTGGCTGGTTGCTTAGTAACCAAACCACCAGCTCTGCAAAAACCCCACGAAAAAGTTGGTGTTGACACGAAGAGCTGCCCTAAATAGTAGGGGAATTTGAGAGAAACAGGTATAGAAATGGATGCTGGACGGGCGGACGGAAATATCGATTTCATTTAGCGGAAATCGCCACTTTATAGCCCCAAAGAGAAAAAAATTTCCTCAGCAATCGATTTAGAGCTATCCAATTCGTAGCTTCCTTCCAGTCAATTTCGCCTCTGCGCTCAATGCCGAACGGGTTCCAAGCGTGGAAGCCAGAGAAAAAAAGTGTGGCGAAATAGTGTGTAGCAGACACACAGAGTGAATATTTCCCCATGTGGTTGATTACAAACTCGATAAAAAGTAGTAATTTCGCGAGAACATACAAAATTTTGTTGCTATTGCCGTGGTAGTAATCAATTTTGCATGTGAATTTTGCGGTAAAAGCGAATTTTGACAAAATTTTAGTGACAAAATGACAAAATTTGACAAAATTCAAGTGACATTATGACAAAATGACAAAATTTAAGAGTTAATGACTCACCTGGAATGCGTACTCCTCGTTTCGGAATTCCAGATCGGCACCAATGCCCTTCTCGAGTGGGTTCTTACCCTCACGCTCTTCGTTACCCCATTCGCCACTGATCAACGAGTTGCGAACGATTGCCTTCAATTAAGCGGGTATACGGTAATTATTTCAATTTGGGATACTGTAACTTTATTTGGGTATACTGTATCTTTATCTGGGTATACTGTAACTTTAGATTAGCATACTGTAACTTTATCTTAGCATACTTTAACCTTACTTTTGCATACTGTAATTTTAGTTTGGCATACTGTAACTTCAATTTGGGATACTGTAACTTATCTCCTGCTGAATATTGTGAAAAAAAACCTTTTCGTCGAATCGCGGATTGAAATGCAGCGCAATATCGCCGTTCTTCTTGAGCAGATTGATGTGGAAACGTTTGCCTTTCTTTTCGGGGGTGGCGAATATCAGTAGCGATTTGCCGGGCGATAGTCCCTCGCCGGCCAGTCCGCTCTCGTATGGCACTGGCTGAAATTTTACGTGACGTGAAATGACGTCACTTTGACGGGAAATGACGTGAAATGACGTCACTTTGACGTGACCTCACTTAACGTGACGTGACCTCAGCTCCAGCCCTAGGCCTCAAGTCCTCAAAAGTCACACCGCACTGCACTGACCCCATCAATCAATCACACTCTGATTACCCTATTCTAGTCGTTCAAATTTCTCCAAAATTTCAACTTCCCAACTCCAAATCAAATCAATCACTAAATCAATCAATCAATCAATCAATAGCACTGATCTCATTACAGATCAAATACCATTCCATTCCACCTCATAAAACTGAAAAATTCCCTCAAAATCACCCCATCTCAACATATCAAACAAATAAATCGCCCAAACAATCACCCAAATCGGATCAATCCCCCCCCCAAATCAAAATCAATACCCAATTCCATAAACCACTCCCAAACGCCATCCAAATAACACCTCAACTACCACCATCAACACATAAATATATTCT